CAGGCATTAGCTCCGCCTCCTCTTTTTTTTTTTTCAAGCTAAGGACCCCAAAATCTGCGTTTCTCTAACAGGGCTGCAAAAGAGGGGTATGAGCAACATGAGGCATGGCTACAATGGGTGATCTGTTTGGTATTTTGAAAAAGAAACTTCACAGACATGTTTTATATAGGTATGGCCCTACAATGTATTTTTCAAATATAGCATGATAGGTCCACTTTAAATAAAAGGTAGAGTTCACAATGCATAAAACAGAGGGAGGTCCAACAATGAGACATTTATCCTTAATGTTTACAACAATCACACTTTTAGCTAAATGTATCTTCTCCATTATGTGTGTTATTATGAACAACATTTTGTGTATAATAACCCTTTAAAATGCTTGTATCGGTTTTATTGAGATCTTTAGGTACATTAGCAAGGTAGAAAACCAGCCACATTTCTATTTCTCAGAAAGATTTGATGTGGCAATTATGCAGCTTGTATTATTGTCTGAGTGTACAGAATGAGTTGTTTGTATATGCAGATGACCGAGAGATATTGTGTGTTAAAGTTGAACCCACGCTGTGTGTCTCGCGGGGGTCCGTGCAGGAATGCATCGAGAGAGCGGAGCTGCACGACGGCCTGCAGAGAGCTGAACGTCATCTGTCTTTAAGTTCACAGCGATATCGAGAGGAAAAAGAGGCCTAACTAATGTTGCCTCATCTTTTTATGAAATCCTCCACAGTTTTTCACCACTCTTCTTGTCTCTCTCTTCAGGCTTCAATGGTCCGCACTGTGAGCATAACATCGACGACTGTCCGGGCCACAACTGCCAGAATGGCGGCATCTGTGTGGACGGTGTGAACACCTACAACTGCCAGTGCCCTCCTCATTACACAGGTGACGTTTTGCTTTAAGAATAAATACAACTTCAAGGTCAAACCTGTAAAGAAGTAATTTGTAACCGTTCCTCTCGTTTCTGTGAACTCTTGCAGGTCAATACTGCACAGAAAACGTGGATGAGTGTGAGTTGATGCCCAACGCTTGCCAGAATGGAGGGACGTGCCACGACACTCACGGCAGCTACCACTGCGTCTGCGTCAACGGCTGGACGGGCGACGACTGCAGCGAAAACATTGACGACTGCGCCAGCGCCGCCTGTTACCATGGCGCCACCTGCCACGATCGTGTGGCCTCCTTCTTCTGCGAGTGTCCTCATGGTCGCACAGGTACGTCTACATTGGCTTTCCCACACATACACTTTATTTCAACCACAAAAAATGTGAACTACTCTCATTGAGTTCTATAACAAATGCCTCTATGGTGAATAAAGAATCTGAAAATCCTTCATTCACAGTAGAGGAATGACTTTACTAAAGTAACACAGGGTGAAAGTCTGATTTATCCTCTTCTTGTGTGTGAAGTATTCCTGTAACAAAGTGATCAAATACAATGACACAGTTCGATTCAGTCTTATCTTGTGATGCCTTCAGGTTTGCTGTGCCACCTCGATGACGCCTGCATCAGCAACCCGTGTCAGAAAGGCTCCAACTGTGACACCAACCCCGTCAACGGCAAGGCCATCTGCACCTGCCCCCCCGGGTACACCGGCTCCGCCTGCAACCTGGACATCGACGAGTGCTCCCTCGGTAAGTGACGAAACTTAACTAAAACATTCCTGCTTTCTGCAATCACTCTGTCCAACAGAGAACTCACATCACACATTTGTACATCCAAAAATCATAATGCGTCCATCTGTATGTAGTGTATTTCATCGAATATGGTATTTTTTGCAAACTCCATGTTAATATATTTATTTTGCTATCTGTAATTGGCCCTTTATAGTTTATATATGACACTCTTCTGGTATACTGTATATCTTCTTAAGGTTTAAGTTCTGTTTTTATTTGTATTTTGAGGTGTTTATATTTGATGCTTATGTTTGTTTATTTTGTACTCCTTTTCATCTTCACATTGAGTGCAATGCCTTGTTTACATGGAGCTTGACAAAAACAATCCCACATTAGGATCAATAAAGTGCATGGTATCTTATCTTAAAAATACTGTTATACCCAGTTATATTTGCATACATTACCACATGTGCATGACAACCTTTATCTCTTGTGTTAGGTGCCAACCCCTGTGAGCATGGCGGGCGCTGCCTCAACACCAAAGGCTCGTTCCAGTGCAAGTGTCTCCAGGGATATGAGGGCCCTCGCTGTGAGATGGATGTCAATGAGTGCATGTCTAACCCCTGCCACAACGATGCCACCTGCCTGGACCAGATCGGAGGCTTCCACTGCATCTGCATGCCAGGTAACAGCATGGATTTATATCGGAAGTGAACGTGGGGAGATAATGCGTGGATCTCCGTAATATTGAATTTTCTAACTCCTGGGATTTGTCTAATAACTCACGTGTGTGAATTCAGGATACGAGGGTGTGTTCTGCCACGTCAACACAGATGAGTGTGGGAGCCAACCTTGTCTCAACAACGGCAAGTGTGTGGACAAGATCAACTCCTTCCACTGCGAGTGCGCCAAAGGTGAGAAATAATGAGGGAAATTGAAAGATGAGGAAGTTAATGGAGTAAAAAGAATAAGTTTTGGGATCCATCAGGTCTCTTTTCACCCCTTTTTTTCAGACAATATAAGTGGCTATTAAATAGTAAAGTATTAACTCAGCTGTAAATGAGTATAGCACGCCACAGATCAAATGTGAATGATTTATTTCCTCTAATAATGTAAGTGAAAGTGTTTCTGGTGAACAGGACACATTGCAGGGTGCAGAATCATTAGCATTTTTGGCGGGTTTGTGTAAGAGCTTAGTGCCACAATTGGGGGCAGGGATTGGTATATGGCCGGTGAGCTGGAGGCCATTGTGTTTGGGTTTGAAAGAAAGTTTTCCCTGCACAGTAAGAGCCAAGGAGGGGGGGGAGCGGAGGGAGGAGGGGGGGGGGGTGTGTTATGGATGGTTTGTTTGGACCTGCATTCCTACTTCAGATGCTAATTAGCTTCTAGCCATGACATACACAATATAACTTTTAATTGCAAACATTCAAGCAAATACCTGAAGCTTAATCCTGTGTTTTCCTCAATACATTTGCAGGTTTTTCAGGGAGTCTTTGTCAGGTGGATATTGACGAGTGTGCCAGCACCCCCTGCAAGAACGGAGCTAAATGTACTGATGGTCCGAACAAGTACACCTGCGAATGTGCTGAAGGTAAACAAACTCTTTTTTTCCTGAAATGTCTTGCATTTTGTTTTAATTCCTCTCCAAATAAACACTCCTTCCTCTCTTGTGCAGGTTACAAAGGGCAGCACTGTGAGACGGACATCAACGAGTGTTACTCGGACCCCTGCCACTACGGCACCTGTAAGGATGGCCTGGCCTCCTTCACCTGCTACTGCCGCCCGGGCTACACCGGCCGCCTGTGTGAGACCAACATCAACGAGTGTCTGAGCCAGCCCTGCAGGAACGGAGGCACCTGCCAGGACCGGGAGAACACGTATATCTGCGCCTGTCCCCAAGGAACAGCAGGCAAGACTTTAGAACAGGGCCACAAACAGAGAAATATACAAAGGGCTGGGCCCCTCACTGCAGGGGAGGTATATTGCCTCATAAGTTAAGTTAAGAGTTAGCACAATCAATCAAATGTAGGTAAATGATGCTTGCTACTTGAATATGCATACATCACAGCTTTCCATAAAGTTTTATTTAGTTTGTTACAAAAAGTGTTGAGAGGGGGGAGGGGTTAAGGCGAAATAGGAAGGGTATATATGCTAGTTATGCAAATAAGTAATTGGGCTTTTTTAATTCAACAGACTATTGCGATATAATGAGATTTTCCCTAATATAATTTGCTAACTTAATTTCAAATCTCCAGGTTTCCACTGTGAGGTGAACCTGGACGACTGTAAGAGCAAACCCTGCGACTACGGCCGCTGCATCGACAAAATCAACGGCTACGAGTGTGCATGCGAGCCGGGCTACACAGGTGAGCACTGGAAGGAGGTACAGATGGGGGGGGGGTGGCCCCTGAGCTTTGGGAGGGGCAGGTAGGACAGGTGGCTGGCGGGTTCACTGCTGCGAAACAATGGTGTCAGATATCCTGGGTTGGAGAGAAAGGAACACAGTCCCATACCTGATACACACACAAAACAACGCACACACACACAAAGCGCTTACTTTGTGTGCCATTTGAAAAGATTCTGACGTGGAGTCTGGAGTAAGGTGATACTTTAAAAGGAAGAGAGCTTGGCCTTTAATCACATATCTGAAGTTTAGCAGTGTGTAACAGCACTGCAAATCCAATTCCTGTCTCAGAGTGAAGCAACACCTAATTCACCTCAGGGGGAGAAGTACTCAGATCTTCTACTTAAGTACAAGTTCCAGAGTGAAGGAATACTCTGTTACAGTAAGAGTTCTGCATTCAAAATGTTAAAGTAAAAGTAGAAAAGTATTATCATCAAAATATAGTGAAAGACAGTAAAAGTAGTCATTGTGCAGATTGGTCCATTTCAGAATAATATATATGATAATGATTGATCATGAAAGTGTTCTCAAAGCTGGTTAAGGTGCAGCTAGTTTGAATGACTTTGTATACTGCAGGGTAGCTTGTGGATTTACTCCAGGTGGAACTAAAGTCTGATTTAACACTTGATTAGATTTCACATCATTCATCCACATCTGTAAAGTAACTAAAGGTATTAAATACATGTAGTGGAGGAAAAGTACACCATGTACCTCTGAACTGTAGTGGAGAAGAAGTACAAAGTTGCAAAACATTGAAATACTTAAATAAAGTACAAGTACCATAAAAGTACTTAGTTACTTTACACCACTGTGGTGCAATCTGAACTGTACGGATTAACAGGGATTAGCTGGAGTTGGAAACAAATTGAAATACTCAAGTAGTACAAGTATCTAAAAATGGTACTTAAGTACAGTACTTGAGTAAATCTAAGATAAAATGGACCTTTGATGATAAAGATAAGAGATAAAATAATGAATAAAATAAAATAAGAATAAACATGTAATAACAGAATGAAGAGAAATAACATGAGGGGAGAAGGAACAAGTGCGCAGGCTTCTGTTCACCCTCCCCCTCCCTCTCTTCTTCCTCCTCCTCCTCCACCTTTGTGTGCTGACTGGGTGAGTGTGGAGGGCATGGCGGGACGGAGAGGGACAGAGGACCATTGTGAGTGCAGATCAGGCAGTTGGGCCCTCCCCTCCTGATTGATGAAGAGCAGGGTGGGTGAGGGGATCAGAGAGGGGGGGGGGGGGTTTAATTGTTATTCTGTCGTCTGTGAAATGGCTCTGGCCTTCTGTCCCCTGTAAACAGCCCTGGGTGAGGTTAGTTCTCCCTGGATGGGGGGTGGTATGTGTGTGAATAGGGAATGTATCT